ATAATAATTTATTAATAATAATAATAATTAATAATACGCTTTTAATTCTGCAATATGTTTCTGCTATGTTGAGGAAACACTGAGAGAGCACTTGTGTAGCTAATTTAACACTTGTAAATTCCCATGACACAAGGCTCATCTACCTCATAAAAATAAAACACAGATATGAAACATTTTTATGGTAAAACAGTATTAAAACATCTTTTTTTGTCTAGATGTACAGAAAAAGAAAATACTTCTATAGTCATCCTAAAGAAACTGTTTAAAATCTAATAGATTAAAACATGTTCCTAAAATATTTTCTGATAGAGAGGATCAAAATTTGGAGGGAGGCCATATCAAATACGTTAAATTATCACGTTTAAAAAAAAAAATGTGGTGACGACTTTTTAATTCTGGAATTATGGATTGTAAATTCTGTAGTACTAATCATTTGATGATCTGACACTGAAAGAAGGCACTTTCTGTGCAAATAAGGAAAGGTTTGTGAGATTGGGCCATAATTTATATTTTAAACAGTCTGGTACGATATGAATATAAGAATTATTTCACTAGTTGAGGTGAAGTAAGAAGAGTATGGACTCGTCTACATGAGGCTTAATGTACAGAAGATTAATTCTACTGCACGTGAGCGTGGTGGGCAAAACCCATGCTAAAGTGCAGTAGATTTAGCCTAGTGCACATTAATGTCATTAAAAAAACTGCTCCTCTGCACTACTGCTCAGTAGCACCAATTACAGCACATTAAGTTAGTACCTGTCATTATGGGTACTAAACTTAATGCACCATAATTACGGCACATTAATGAACATGTATCCATTCTAACCTTCACTTAAAACTCAGACTAAGTCTTCTAGGATATTAAGGGTGTAGGCTTCCTGAAACCTGGAAAATAACAGGTGTTTTTTGACAGCCTGTACTGAATTCGGGTTTTTAGATCAAAAGGTTTTGGCTAACGTTAGCTTTCTCTTGGTTAGCTGTACCAGTCCTCCAAAACTTCCAAGTCATTCATTATAAAACTCTAAACAATGTTACCTTTTAAAAATAAAATTGTATTGTCCTATTCAGAATATCAGGACTTCATATCTGACAATATTGTATATTTCTTTAATCAACAAATAAAAATTATATAGGTAAACAAATGTAATCCTTAAAGCCATGAGGTGATTTTCTGAATTGGTCAGAAAAGCATCCGTCATTGATGTAAAGTACGTATATCTGAATGGATGCATTGTGGCCTAAATTTAACAAATGGAGCCCTACATTTGGAGACCCAGAGAAGTAATCTTGTCTTTCAGAGTTGCTGATCATCTGCTGCTTCCGTTGACTTGAAATGAGACTGCTCTGTTTATCACTAATGGAACTTAGGCCACCTTTTTAAAGGCTTTAGCTCCCAGACACCCATTGTATTATATTTGAGATTTACACACCAATAAGGTAAGAAATGCTACACATACAAAGTAATCATCGTGCAATAAAAATGGCCCGCCAGCTGCAAAAAAAAAATGGCCAACCAGTTACAAAGATGTTGCTTTAAAAATGTAGAACATTTTTGTAGCTGGTTTCGATCACGCTTTAATTTGAATGTGGCATGTCACACACAGGGTGATAGCGTTTGGCCAGTTCTTCCAGCATCCCGGAGTATGCTGCTTTCTTTTCCGTCCCCTCTGACTCATGTTGAATTTTGCTGCCCCAGGGTGTCATGACTGCTCCTCCTCCTCTTTCCCCAACCAACCTTCAGAGCTGCTTCTTTAAGGAGCCATTCGCACCTTGTCCCTGTGCAAACCAGAATATAAGCAGACACTCAAGGTGACATGCTTTACTAACCTACAATAGTAATCTGAGAAACGGGGAGGACATATGGTTGGAAAGGTGCTGGTGGGGACAAGATGAGGACAGAGGAAAAAGCATTCTTAGAAGGTGTTCTGGGAGAGTTCAGTGCTGCTGTTCCTTTTTCTCCCCCCCCCCTTCCCCCTACCGTTTGCATGGGTCTCCCCTACTCTGTGCAAGGGGTAGGGGATGGCTCCTTCCACTCAGGGGGAACCCAGAGCTAATTTATTAGCAGCAAAGTGAAAGCCTGGGAAGGGGATTGACAGCCTGTGCTAGAAGTTCTCCAGCTCCTCTTGCTGGTTAGTGGTGGCAGAGCAACTTCCTAGGGCACTTCCCCACCCTCTAGATACCTTGCCCTGTGAACATGAAGCAGGTCACATGGTGTGACAGTTTCTGTCAAGCAATGTTCCTTGATGGAAATAACGTCTGCCTGGGGCCTTATTTAAAACACCTGTTTTGAAATGTTTGTTCCAAGTACAAAAATAGTGTTTTTGAAATATGTCATGATGCATCAAGTACTGGTCAATATGGGAGATAGTCTGTATAGTTTGGATGTACTGGTGATTTACTGGTATTTTTGTCTGCTGAGCTGGTACTAGTGGTGAGGGGGTAGGGGGATGTGCATGTGAGAAGATGATTCTAGCATACTAATAGCATAAAAACAGGACAGTATACACATATTAAAGCTATGCAGCAAATATCTTTGCTTTTTTGTTTGGATATTGTTCTTTCATATTTTAAAACACAAACTGAAAGATATTGTTACAAAAGAGCTAAATTTAGAAATGAAAACTAAAATGCTCTATATAGTCTAATATTGTATGAAGCATGAAATATGAAAAGAAGCATTAGTGTTGTTGTACACCATGTTTATTCTCAATTGACCTTAACACTGTCTATTTTAGGGAGATTTTCAAGTTTGTCTAACACTAGGCTTCTGCTTCATTACTAGTGCTATGTCTTGTAAATTCACAGGTGTGTTTTAAACAATATGTATAAATCCACATAATGCTAGGACAGAAGGGGTAGTTAAAGAGTTACTTTGTTACTTTTGTTCCCCTCAGAACTAATTAACACACTGACACTCAGTATGCCTTCTGTTTGCGAAAACATGCATGCATCTTACTCCCTCGTGGCAGTTGCACTTGTTTCCGAGTCCCTCTTGAAAAATATGTACCCCATTTCACTTTCACATCCTTGAAGATAGTTGTTATATTTAAATAGATTTTTGAATGGTACAGCCGATTTGTTGTTTTTGTGAAATTGGGAATTTCACACGTAATAATTTGAGAGAGTACTTTTGGATAGTCTTCCATTTTCTAAGATACATGCTGCTGTTTTCCTGTTGTCTCAAATATTATATAAGTATTTGCTTAGTATAATTTCAGCATGATAACTGAATTACTAAAATACTGTAAGCCTGTTAGAATATTGTATCTGATTCTAAAATTACTTATCTAATTATAGCTTTTTAAGTTCTTACCTAATTGTGTTACTATTGCTATTTACTAAGTGATGAGACTGAGTTTGGTGCTAAGAGATGCAGGTTAACTCCTGATCACCTCCCTCTGTTCAATCCCATCTCTCTCTCATTGATTACAGCCCCTTTGATGTCTTACTGTTAAGATAAATTCAGAATGGGCTTAGCTGAACTTCTGACTTTTAATTCAAAACCCTTTCTTCCCTCTTTCAGTCTTTTTTGTCAGCATTGTCACTGCGGATCCTGCTATTCACATTCATAATCTAGGGCAGTTGAGGTCAAGCTTTTGGAGTGGTAGGCCAAGTGCCTGTAACCTGGCTGCACTATGTGCCACCACTCCTCTCCAGTAAGGGAGAGGGGGATGGAGAGAGAGGGGAAGGAAAGAGAAAGTGAGCAGAGCAGGGAGGGTTGTAGCAGTGATCAGTGTTGGATCAGGACAAGAAAGGAGATGGTGTGGGGCTGAGCTGCTTGCTGATGATCTCCCATGCTGCAGCCTGATTCTGTCTCTTGGGGGGCCAGATCTGATCTGCAAGCCATGGGTTGAACATCACTGATCTAGGGGATGTCTTTGTGACTTGTTTTATTCACCTTTATCCCACATACCCAGGCTTGGCCCACAGCTTGTTGTTTGTTCCTCCTTGATATTTCAGAAATCTCTCTTTGTTCTGTTCTTGCACAAAAACAAGCAAAGAAATGAACCAAGCCACCATACAACACATTTAGGCTAAGTACAGACAGTCAAACATCCTGATGCTGAATCAATTCAATCTTCACAGGTTAGTCTCAGCTGTGTAGATTGAACCAATAAGCAAGTGAATAGACATTCACTTTTGATTCCAGAAATGCAGCTACGTGCCTGCAGTGGCCCAGGCCAGAAGCCACAGAGTGCTAGAGCACACCTCCCTGCTTGGCTGTAGCAGACAATTTGGGCCAACATTAACCTGTCCAGCCTGGGGGTGGGGCAGGTTGCAGGAGAGGTGCAAAGCATCCTGGGATGCTAGGGGACTGTGAGTTAACTTGAGGGGATCTGGGACAGAAGTTCAGTAAACCAATTTAAATTAAATCAGTTCAGTCTGATATTACGTGCATCCAGGTTTATCTTAAGTGGTTTTGGCTATTTTGAAAGCAGTTTATGTGCACTGAATCTCTGTTGTGTTTCCAATAGCTTATACTGGTCTACGTGTAATTTCTGTTCCTAACCATAGGCCCTTGTGTCCCATCTGTTGTGGTTTCTTCTTCTCAGGCCACCACTCTATTGTCAAGTGCGATTTATTGACCTGTTGCTTTTAGGACATGGTCCCTTTCCCTCACTGCCTCTGAAATTGCTCCACTAGATCCTCATTTCCTTTCAGAGCTGCTCACCTATCTTCTCTTAGCTGATCCCCCATTACTGCTTAACTTCCTGCCTGTCCATTTCTTCCCAACAGTTGCTGTGAGTTCTTCCATGCATCTTTGTGAAGGGAATATCTTTTCTTAATGGATTAATTTCCAGTTTCCCTCCCCTCACCCCCAAATCAGTTCTGTGCTATTTCCTGTTAGACTGTGAAGTCTTCAGGGCAGAAACCATGTCCGCATCTCTGTTTGTATCACGTGCAGCACAATGGAACAGTAATCCTGACTGCAGTATCTCAGCACTGCTCAGTATAGGAAATATGACAATAATGTAATTGGTTGATATTCTCTCTTGCAGGTTTAACAGATGAAAAAGTGAAGGCCTATCTTTCTCTTCACCCCCAGGTACTGGATGAATTTGTGTCAGAAAGTGTAAGTGCTGAGACGGTGGAAAAATGGCTAAAGAGAAAAAACAACAGACAGGAAGGTAAGATCTTACTAATTGTGATTAATTTAAAGTTAACATTCATTTACTTTTGATTTTGGTTTTGTAAAGGAAATTTTGTTGCTTCATGTGAAACTTTGCATTTTGGAGTATAAACATCAAGGCTGCAGAATTCTTTAAAGAGGTCAAAAGAGCTTTAAAAAAGTTTGTTTCTTGCTGTCTGGCGTGTCTAACTGGAATGTACTGGTATTTACATATGTGGGGTATAGTATAATATGTGTAAGTGAAAATGAAGGAATATGAATATCAGGCCAAACTTATTTTGATGCAACTTTATTGAGAATGTAGTTTGGCTTCTTGCTTCTAAAATTGCTAAAATACTCAAAAGAAAATTTTGCAGTATATGTAATATGTGTACCTAAGTAGAATTTATGATTGAGCAAGTCATAGATTCCTGCTGCAACCTGAGTTAAGTTGAATTCTGATATCAGAAGTGAAAAAGTATTGTAAGCAAAGGGTAATGATAAAAAACAACATACTGAATTATGGGGAGGCATCCATTTGGCTGCAGCAGGGATCAGTATTAGACCCACGTATATTTAACATCTCCATTAATGACTGAGAATTTTTTTTGATATCCAACTTGTTAATGAGTAAAGCCTCATTCCTATATACTGTTCCACATAAGCAGACCCCCAGTTCATGCTTGAGGCCTTTGAGTTCAATGGGATTGTGCATGGCCTACGGTTTCTTGTGTGTTCAGCAGCTGGCAGCAATGGATCCGAACCGTGAGATGAAATTTAAGAATCATTGCAGGCCCTGGCAGATGAAGAGAAGTAGAAATCAAGGGGTGAAATCTTGATAGGAAAGAACAATGATGGTTTTTCTTGAAAAAATGGAAGTAAATTTATTGGAGGAAAAAATCATCCAGATTTAGTGGGATGGAGATTTTTGGAAAATAGCAACTGTAATAAAGATCTGGAATACAGTTGTATTGTAAATCAATGGGGTGGGGGATATGGGTGGGGGGAAGGACACTGATTTTGTTCTATACGTGCAATGCTAAAGTGATTGCAGTAAAATATTTTATTTGGGGTTTTAAAACTGCTTCTAGTAGTATTCCACATTATAAATTGCTATTTCTTGAGGGATGACTGAATTTACCTCCTAGAGCTGCATAAAGGTTGGTAGGGGGATACATCTAGTCTACTTGCGATGATAGTAGCTAATGATACAGGGTACTGACAGACTTGGGGTAGGAAAAAAAGCAGCTCTTTCCCAGTTTGACGTAGATCCCCAGTATCTGTGTAGCTTGTGTTCTTCAGCAGGGCTTTTTGGCACTCTCTTTTATATAATAGCTGATTCAATCAGCTATTAGATAAAAGCCCCACTGAAGTATATGAACTATTCAGATGCTAGGTGAGCTGGGTTGAACTCTCAGAATACCTCTTCTGGGCATGTGCTGTGCTTGGTGCAGCGTGTGCCAAGCTGAAAGTAAACCACTGTTTTGTTTTTGGAGATTCCCCCTCCCCCCTCAACATCTGTAAGCAGCCACAGTGCAATGCCATTCTCTTTGGTATCTCGTAATTGTCAGTATCTGTGTTTAACAGAAGTAAGATGTACATGTGATTATATGCTTTAACTGTGTTGCTTTCCTTGCTTTTTCTGGTTTTGTTTTGGATAGAGTCCAGTCTTAACAGATGCATAATGTATATGTTTATTATCTGTCTACCTATTTGGAAAACCGCTATGAAGTATCAAGTACCATGAGTCAATTGCTGAGTTAGTGGTTTGTTTTTGTTCTTATTTAGAACAATATTTATGGGAAACATGATCCAATAAATATGTATGCTGTACCTGTGAGCACGGCTTTGGGAGAGAAAAATAGCCTAACAACATTGATTGGATTAATTGTAGTACTTTTCTTGAACAGTAGTGAATACATTTTTACGAGGCAAGTAATTGTTTAAGCAACAATTTTGTCTTTTCAGTGAAAGGGATTTTTTTTCCCTACAAACTGGTCAGGCTAAGCATACAGTAAAGAACAAGTTAAGACATGAGTCTGGGAATCACAGTGCTAAAACTACTTTTGGGTAGGGCTGTAGTTCCATGAACATGGATTTGTTAAGCAGAAATTATTTTGGTTTGCTCCAGGGATTTGAAAGTGTAAACAAGTAATTGTTTAACCTGGTGGTTCTCAACCTTTTCTGTACCAGGACCCATTTGTAAACATTGATGGCTGGTCCTAACCCCCTGCCCCCAGACCACAGCCCCCAGTGTGTGGAGCAGAAGGGGTGTGTGTGGGGGGCACGAGGGGCCCCAAGCAGCCCCTTGCAGGCTGGACCTGGCAAGGTAAAAGCATGGTTTCCCACATTTTTCTCCTTTTACAGGAGAATCCATTTTTAAAGCTTGTTTGCCATCCTTTCATGTCTTTATGCGACCCACTTTTGGGTCACAAGCCATGGGTTGAGAAACACTGGTAACAAATAAATGCAGTGGTAACTGGTTAGCTTTCTGGTTATCCTTTAGCTTGGGGCAGGTGCAGTCTGGCAGGGAATGGGTGAAGGGAAGTCGTTTAATGCCCTAGCAGGAATCAAAAGAGAGCAGGGTAGGCAGGCAGGAGGGAGGGAGGGAGTAAAGGAGAAGGGAGGTGGGAATGGGGAGAGTCAAGGGCGCTTAGTACCTGTAGTCTTAGAGGAAGACAGTGAGCAGCCTAATAACTCATCAGTGCTCCCTCCCCGGGCATGGGGAGAGGGGGCATGTCTTCACGTGGGCTGTGTTGTGTGCCTGGGCTTGCCACCTCCACCTCCCCCCGCCCCCAGTCAGAGGGCCCCAGGAGCTGCTCCCAACACTGTGTCCGAGCTGCTGTGCTATCAGTTAATTGTTTAACCTATATAATTAGAGCAGTTTAAACACGCATATTTTTAAATGATATTTATGTCTCTAGTTTGATTACAATTTCTCATTCCTAGTTTGCTTAGAATTTCCCTAGAATTTCTCTTTAGCCCTTAGGAAGTTACCATACTGTTCACACACCTGGGTGGAAATGAGTATTGCAGTGCTGTGGAGATAAGCATCTCGTGTTTTTGGGCCAACTGGTTGAAAAAAGTGAGGGAAGTATTGACCTTGATGGTAAATAAATCGTAGTATTCTCTGATGTGCAATCAGGGTATGGGTTGTGTGAATGTTTTTTCAGTTCTGTTGTTTTCAGAGATATGGGGTAATGATTTTCTCAAGTCTAACTATTTTCATAATTGTCATTTCAAGGAATTGACATTAAGGGCTTTTATTTCCCTCCCCCCCACCTTTTGATCCCTAACTGCCCAATAAGGGAGCAGATTTTCACATAGTTGATTTTTACTAGGCGCAACCTGTGTGCAGGTAAAATTTTGTGTTGACCATTATGAAAGCCATTTCTGTATTCCTGTGAGCCTTGTTTCTGTAGGTGGGTTTTGCTTCCTGAAGTTTCCCCCAAATAAGGCACAGTTTTGAGCAGCAATCAAATGTCCTGCCATGGATACTAGGGGGAAGCCCTTTGGCTCTGATCCCAGCCCAACAGCTTGGCCCCTTAGTAGCAAGCTTGTTCTGCTCACAGCTTGCCTCTCGCTTTCAAGCTGTTCCCTCATGGTTTGCTGCCTTGCTGTTCTCCTCCATGGTGTTTTAAGCTCCCAGTCGGACATTCCCTCTTTATCCAAAAGCCGTGCAGCTGGGCTCTCTCAACAGGGCTGACTGTCACTTTTCAAGTGGACAGACCCCCCTGTTTCAATTCCATTTTGTCCTGAAAACTTTTTTCCAGTTTCCAAGCATTTGGATTTGAAATAGTCAATAAAAATTATTGACTGGCTTCTTATTATTTAATAATGAGCCAGGACAGTAATAGTGGAGTAAGTTAGAATAATTTAATGTTTACAGCCACACTGCTATAAAGTAAGTGCAGTAATATTTTCTGGGAGTACAATGTCTGTATTTTAGGTTTTTGTGGTTGAAAATTATTCTGGTGTCACTAGCAAAAAAAAAAAAAATATTCACTTATATTTAAATCTAATAAGGAAAAGAGAAGCTTCAGTAATTGTGGATCAAATTGTGTGTACTTTTTTCTCTTTACTTCATATTAGTGGAGTACTATTTTACTTTAGCTTGGACTTAAAGTTCATATGATGTCCAGAGACAAAGAAGAATTTTATTTTCATTAGAAAGATGCCAATCAGCAGGAGTTCTGGTTTGAGATCTCTACTTTGTACGTTGGTGATGTAGAACACTCATTAACTTATATGCAGAATTCTTTTTTGTCCCATTTATAAGCACCCAGTTGTGTATGTTCCTTCAGCCAGAAGTCAAAGCAGTGTGCCCATAGCCAGAGTAGTTTTATCTGAGGTGCATTAGAAGGAATAGGAGCTGGAATGTCTAACTTGGACTTAAATTGTCTAAAAAAAACCTTCTGTGGCTATAAGACAGCAAATGGAGTTGCTGTACAATAGCTTCTCCAAATAAAAAAAATGGACCTTAGTAGGGGGAAATCAGGAAATTTAGTGTTTAAAATATTCTGTCAGTATATGTAGATGGGTTCTTTCATTTGAGTATACCAGGTACCAATGTTAGGGCTAGTACAGAGATTGCCAGATGCCAGAGTGGGTTCATCAGAGTTTGAAGGAGTCTTTTGGGGGTCATGGGATTTATTTCAGATAGAAAAAGGTTAAAAACAGTTTTTGAGGTATGTGCAGGAGCCATTAAAAAGAAAATAGAGGATACAAGTCTGACAAGTATCCAAGTTTTTGGACACAAACATTTAGACTTGTGTATATCGCAAACCTGAATGTTATCACATAATTTAAAATTGCTTGGAAATGCTAATAATTGGGTGTCAGATTGGGCAGTTTCTGGTTGGGTTTTTTTTTTTTTTTTGCATTACTCATCCAAAATACCCATCCAAAGCAGTGGGCCAGATTCTGCTCTCTTGCTCAAATGAAATCGCTCTAAAATAGAATCAAAGAGCTATAATCAGAATCCGAGCTATAATCTAGCAGGTAGAATTAACCCAGTGG